CAGCGTCTATTCAGTACTCCGAAACTGGCCATGTTTTTGGCGAAGATGGAACAACTGGAGGTGGTGGTTCCGACACGTTTTCGCTTGACTCATATCTCCTTTTGTTCAATCACATCGATTTTCAATCAATGCCGTACGCTAAAGAACTGACTGACAATACAACTGGTCAGAGTTACACCAACGCTCTTTCAATCGGAGTTCGGCAGGCAATACGCAACGGCAAACAGCAAGGTCAGCTGCTTGAAGATATTGGTGCCGTAACCGAATACATTGTACGACCCCGTTTGGCGGATTTATTGCCTGGATCCACTGAAGATTCACAATTTGACCGTATTGCCGATCAACTCAAAACACTGGGTGTCAGAACTGGACTGAACAATCTTCAATTTGTTTGCGAGTCCATCGATTATAACACCACTAGCAGTGACGTAACCATTGATGTACAAGTCAAGGGAATCAATCAACTGTCAGTTATTGATGACACTGGCAAATCACTTTCAGTTGCCAAGTTTAAAAGCAACATAAAAAGTCAACACTCGTTCAAACTGGCATCTGTAATCAACGATCTTGGTAATACTCGGGTCAGTATCATTGGCCAAAACAACGGCAAACAGGTTCTCAAAACACATAAGCATATCAGTCGCATTCCACAACAACAAGATCGTGTTAAACTTGAACATGGTGTCAAATGGGTGTTTAATGGTACCAGTAAATCGGTTGGAATATACAACTGGCCATTTACCAAAAAGTCACAGGGATGGAACTCGGTCAATGGTAAATGGGTTGTTGGTGACGGAATACAATACAGTCCTGCAATAGTCACTGAGATCCGATCATACTATACTGCACCAGTTGGATCCAACATCACTATTGAAATTGATGCCGCACTTGAATCGCAAATGTATGGCGACTTTTTAAGCTTGTATATCACAGATGCGGATGACAATGTGGAATCACTTTTGAATACGGTTGATCCGAATACTAATATGCCTACAGAAGGTGTATCCGGAGTCAAGACGGTTGCAGAAAAGTATGCAGTGACAACCAAGACGGAACAGTTTTTTGTCAACATCATATTCAATTCAGACCTTGCTGTGCAGATGAAAGGAGCAACAATCAATTATTGGAGTGTTAGCATGAATTGAAATGATTGTAAATGGTTGTGAATGATTGTGAATGTCACTGAATATATGACTGAATGTATTATTGATTACACCACAAGTCATGTAACACCACCAGACCATGTTTGAATGAATACAATGCGATTGCATACAACTATTGACACATTGATTAAATTTATTTGAATCAAACAGAGTCGAATGAAATATACTAGTTTTTGAACCACTGGAAAAAGTTGTACAGTTTGGCCATGAATCCAATGCCATGAGTTCTCTTGAACTTTTGAAGTTTTTTCTTATTTAGTTTGCAGATACGTTTTGCTCGTATACATTGGAAATCAAGATAAAACAAGCTATTTTTTGTAAGAGTCGAAGTTTTGCCAAACTTGTTTTTAATGGAATCTGGTAAAAACTTGCCAAAAAACGAGCCTAAACCTAATCCTCCATCGGTTTGACTCGATATAAGTTCATTCTTGGATTTATGATACTCATCACACTTTCGCTTCATGTTTTCCTTGGCATCTTCCACCTGTTTCTGTAAATCTTCATATCTTTTCTGAACTTGATCACTTGATTCATGTATGTTACTTGGACTACTGATTGTCGGCTGGCATCCATTTGATGATCCCGGTTGGCATCTAGGATTCTGGTTTGATTGGGGTTTTTGAACATTTTCACTAGGTGGGACTACTGCCATGCTACTGGTGACCACCAAAGTCAATGCGAGTAAAATGTCCGTGAGCCTCATTGTTGGATTTGATTGGTAAAAGTAATCTGTGGGTTTGGTGTATTGAACGTGTATGCTAGTCGATTGGTTACTACACTTGCAGTCAGTCAAATAAGTACGCTGTGCTATTGGTAATCAAGGATATTTGTTGAATAAACGATATTTAATCGTTTATAAAATAGATAATATCAGGGCTAACATGTTAAATTATGCAGGGATCATGCAGGGATCATCGTACAGCATAGAGATCCTCTGAACAAAACCCTTCATTTTCGATATTCCCTTCAACCTCGATTGACGATCAGCAGGGATTGACGATCAACGAGTATTGTGATTATTGTGATGGTCAAGTACACAGGCTTAGACTTACATTCAAGGGTGTGTGTTCGATAATTCATCAACATCAATCGTACATGCTGAAAATAAGGGATCATACTCGATACATGTTCATGCAAGCCTTTTGACCATTGATATTGCATTACCAATGCCAATGCCGACACAAACATCTTGATGTCAACACTCATATTTGGACCTACTATATCCAACTCATAATAAATCATCAGTCGTGTATTTTGAACCATTCATCCAGACTCTTCAGTAATGTTCATAAACACCAATGCTGTTGTGATTGGTCTCTGTAAACTTCAAGCGGTAATGCCGAGTTTGTCAATGACATTTCAATCACATTCCAATGACATTCCACAACTCTTCAAACCTGATTTTCAATCAATGCCGTATTACAAAAAACTGACTGACAATACAACTGGTCAGAGTTACACCAACGCTCTTTCAATCGGAGTTTGACAGGCAATACGCAACGGCAAACAGCAAGGTCGGCTGCTTGAAGATATTGGTGCCGTAACTGAATACATTGTACGACCCCGTTTGACGGATTTATTGCCTGGATCCACTGAAGATTCACAATTTGACCGTATTGCCGATCAACTCAAAACACTGGGTGTCAGAACTGGACTGAACAATCTTTACTTTGTTTGCGAGTCCATCGATTATAACACCACTAGCAGTGACGTAACCATTGATGTACAAGTCAAGGGAATCAATCAACTGTCAGTTATTGATGACACTGGCAAATCACTTTCAGTTGCCAAGTTTAAAAGCAACATAAAAAGTCAACACTCGTTCAAACTGGCATCTGTAATCAACGATCTTGGTAATACTCGGGTCAGTATCATTGGCCAAAACAACGGCAAACAGGTTCTCAAAACACATAAGCATATCAGTCGCATTCCACAACAACAAGATCGTGTTAAACTTGAACATGGTGTCAAATGGGTGTTTAATGGTACCAGTAAATCGGTTGGAGTATACAACTCGCCATCTACCAAAAAGTCACAGGGATGGAACTCGGTCAATGGTAAATGGGTTGTTGGTGACGGAATACAATACAGTCCTGCAATAGTCACTGAGATCCGATCATACTATACTGCACCAGTTGGATCCAACATCACTATTGAAATTGATGCCGCACTTGAATCGCAAATGTATGGCGACTTTTTAAGCTTGTATATCACAGATGCGGATGACAATGTGGAATCACTTTTGAATACGGTTGATCCGTATACTAATATGCCTACAGAAGGTGTATCCGGAGTCAAGACGGTTGCAGAAAAGTATGCAGTGACAACCAAGACGGAACAGTTTTTTGTCAACATCATATTCAATTCAGACCTTGCTATGCAGATGAAAGGAGCAACAATCAATTATTGGAGTGTTAGCATGAATTGAAATGATTGCAAATGATTGTGATTGGTTGTGAATGATTGTGAATGTCACTGAATATATGACTGAATGTATTATTGATTACACCACAAGTCATGTAACACCACCAGAACATGTTTGAATGAATAAAATGCGATTGCATACAACTATTGACACATTGATTAAATTTATTTGAATCAGAGTCGAATGAAATATGCTAGTTTTTGAATTGCTTTTTGAACTTGTACAGCTTTCCCACGAGTCCAATGCCATAAGCTTGCTTAAGCTCCCTAATTCTTTCTTCAATTAGTTCGCACATACCTTTTGCCCGTATACATTGCAGATCAAAATGAAATAAGCTATTCTCCGTGTTAGTCGGAACTTTACCAAACTTGTTTTTGATGGGATTTGGTACAAGTTTGGCCAATCCCGAAGTTAAACCTGATCTTCCAATGGCTTGTTGCGACTTGAGTTCATTTTTGAGTTTATGATACTCATCACACTTTTGTTTCACGATCTTCTTGGCATTTTCCAATCGATTTTGTAGACCTTCATATTTCTTTTGAACTTGACTAGCTGACATGTGTTCATCATCCGAGTTACTTGCTGTCGGCTGGCATCCATTTGATGGTCCTGGTCGGCATGCAGGACTCTGGCTTGATTGAGGGGTTTGAACATTTTCACTAGGTGGGACTACTGCCATGCTGCTAGTGATCACCAAAGTCAATGCGAGTAAAATGTCCGTGAGCCTCATTGTTGGATTTGATTGGTAAAAGTAATCTGTGGGTTTGGTGTATTGAACGTGTATGCTAGTCGATTGGTTACTACACTTGCAGTCAGTCAAATAAGTACGCTGTGCTATTGGTAATCAAGGATATTTGTTGGATAAACGATATTTTGAGTGTTTATAAAATGGATAATATCAGGGCTGGTGTGTCAAATTATGCAGGGATCATCGTACAGCATAAAGATCCGCTGAATAAAGCCTTTATCTTCGGCGTTTCCTCTGACGGATATTGTGATTACTGCGATAGTCAAGTACACAAGTTCAGACTTGCATTGAAGGGTGTGCTTGATAATTCACCGATATCAATTATCCATGCTGAAAATAAGAGACCATGCTTGATACATACTCATGCAAGCTCGTACAAGCTTTTCAATCATTGATACTGCTATGCCAATGCCGAATTGTGATGCCGACACAGACATCTTGATGTCAACACTCATATTGGACCTACTATATCCAACTCATA